GCCCTCCAGGTGTTTTTGCCGCCACTGCCTGTCCTGTTTAGCAGCTGACTAGTCTTGGGGCCCGTAGTCCAGCCCTCCAACGGTCTGAGGAACTGGCCCCCTGTTTAAAAAGTTTGAGGACCCCTGACCTAGGGCGACTGAATGAGACGCAGTCTCAAAAAAAAGAGAGAATGGAAACCCAGAGAAATGAATTGTTATGGTCGGAGTCACCCAGCAAATTAGCACTCTTCTTACTGTACTATCTGCCTGTGCCTTTTATAAGGAATTGGATTTTAGATCTGTACTGGATGATTTGTAGAATGGAGGCCATTCTATGTCAAAACTGGAAAGGCAACAAGGCTTGTCCTTGTTGAGTCAGCTTGGAATGATTTTGAGAAGTCTCTTTATGCTAGGTACTGATGGCCAGAGTGAGCTTTATGATGGAACATACCTTGGCGTCTGGGTGCTAACCTGACATGTCCCCCTGGCTCACTGGAAAGTCACTACAACTGTACTGTCTGTGGAACAGTTGTTTCAAGAAGAAAGACCATCATCTGTCCCTGTAATGGTGGGCACAGCACCCAGCAAAAATTGCTTTTCTTTTCTTTTCTTTTCTTTTTTTTTTTTGAGACAGAGCCTCACTCTGTCACCCTGAGTAGAGTGCCATGGCATCACAACTCACAGCAACCTCAAACTTAAGCAATTCTCTTGCCTCAGTCTCCCAAGTAGCTGGCACTACAGGTGCCTGCCATAACGCCCAGGTATTTTTTTGTTGTAGTTGTCATTGTTGTTTTGCAGGCCCTGGCCAGGTTCAAACCCACCAGCCCTGGTGCATGTGGCTGCCTATCCACTGAGCTGTGGGCGAAATTACTTTTCTTTTTTGGTATTTTTAATGGAACTTTCTAAGTTTGTATGCACATTGAAACGGAACCATTTAAAAACTATCAAGAAAGATTGATTTCATATGGGGACTTGGGTTTATAGCTTTTTTTCTTTTTTCTTTTAAGGACAAGATCTTATTCTCTTGCCTGGGCTGGAGTGCATTGGCATTATTGTAGCTCACTGCAGTCTCAAATTCCTAGGCTCAAGTAATCCAAGTAGCTGGGACTATAGGTGCACACTACCATGCCCAGTTAATTTTTTTTTTTTTTTTTTTTTAGGCAGAGTCTCAAGTTGTCCTCGCTAAGAGTGCTGTAGAGTCATAGCTCACAGCAACCTTCAACTCTTGGGCTCAAGTGAGCCTCTTGCCTCAGTTTTTCTATTTTTTTAGCTTTCCTGGGCCGGGTTCAAACCCACCACCCTCGGTGTATGTGGCTGGCACTCTGCTGACTGAGCTATGGGCACTGGCCCAGCTAATTTTTTTAATTCTTTGTAGAGATGGGTCTCACTGTATTGCCCAGGCTGGCCTTGAACTCCTGGCTTCAAGCAATCTTCAAGTGATCCTCCCACCTTATGCCGCCTAAACTGCTAGGATTAAAGGTGTTAGCAACTATGCCAAGCCCTTTTTCTTTTTTCCTTTTTTAAATATAGGTAGGTAGAAATAAAATAGCCTAAATTATTTGGAATTATTTATTTTTTGCATAACTAATAAAGTCACATGGGCAAACATCAATTTAAAAGAAAGAAAAGGCATATGGTGAGAGTCTTATTCTCTCTGTAGTCGCCCATCTACCCAGTTCCCCTTCCCCCTTCTAAACCTCTATCCTTGTATAACCACTTCTGGTTTCTTTGGAATTCTTCCAGAGTTTCTCATGTAAATACAAGCATTGCTTGCTATTTAGACTGTTCTATACCTTGTTCTTTTCACTTTCAGAAATACTGAAGATCATTTTATGTTGGCTCATATTTGAGCGCTTCTTTGTTCTTTTTAAACAACTGTATTATATTCCTGCGTGTACACATCCCATCATGGTTTTGTTTTTATTTTTGTTTTTGAAGACAGAGTGTCACTCTCTTGCCCTAGTTAGAGTGCCCTGGGGTGATAGTTGACAGCAGTGTCAAACTTGGGCTCAAGTAATCCTCTTGCCTGAGCCTCCTGAGTAGCTGGGGCTATAGGTTCCTGCCACAACACTTAGCTATTTTTAGTAGAGATGGGGTCTTGCTTTTGCTCAAGCTGGTCTTAAACTCCTGAGCGCAAGTGATCTACCCACCTTGGCTTTCTAGAGTGCTAGGATTACAGATATGAGCCACTGAGCCAGCCATCAGCCATGTTTTTATGTACTTACACCTAAGTACATTATCTCCATTTGATAAACATTTGAGGGTTTTTTCAGTATTGCAAACAATGTAGCCACGAATAGGGTTATGCATATGTTCTTAGGTGATTTTTAGCTTTATAATTAAATGCATGAATATCAATCATTTAAATAACAAAATTCGGTGGGAGTTAGTTTTTGTATAGCATTTCTACATTAGCATAGAAAGCAATTGAAAGCACTATTCTGCTGCATTTGATTGTGCCTTTGTAATGTTTAAGATAGAGGGCATGGAAGCTATTTTTTTTTTTTATTGTTTGGGATTCATTGAGGGTACAAAGAATTAGGTTACACTGATTGCATTTGTTAGATAAAGTACCTGTTATAATTGTGTTCCACCCCCAAGAGGTGTGCCATGTAATGGTGACTTCCAATCCCCCTCTTTCCTCATCTCTCCCCACTTTCTCATTCCCTTACCACTCCCTTGTATTAGCTCATCTGCTGCCTTCATATTAGAATTGAGTACACTAGATTCTTGCTTCTTCATTCTTGTGATGCTTTACTAAGAAGAATGTGTTCCACTTCCATCCAGGTTAATACAAAAGGTGTAAAGTCTCCATCTTTTTTAGTGACTGAATAGTATTCCATGGTATACATATACCACAGTTTATGGTTACCACAGTTTGTTAATCCGATCCTGGGTTGGTGGGCATTTAGGTTGTTTCCACATTTTGTATCGTAAATTGTGCTGCGATAAACAGTCTAGTGAAAATGTTCTTATGATAAAAGGATTTTTTTTTCTTCTGGGTAGATGCCCAGTAATGGGATTGCAGGACCAAATGGGAGGTCTACTTTGAGTTCTTTAAGGATTCTCCATGCTTCCTTCCAAAAAGGTTGTATTAGTTTGCAGTCCCACCAGCAGTGTAAAAGTGTTCCGTTGTCTCCACATCCATGCCAGCATCTGCAGCTTTGCAAATTTGTGATGTGGGCCATTCTCACAAGGGTTAGGTGATATCTCAGGGTGGCTTTGATTTGCATTTCTCTGATGATTAGGGACGATGAATATGAGCATTTTTTCATTTGTTTGTTAGCACATGGAAACTTTTAATCTTCTTGAAGATCTTTGCTTCTTTAAAAAGTCCATGATTATTTGTTTAGCAAAGGTATCACTTTGCTGAAGTGGTTGTTTTTATGCATAAAAGCCTAACTTTTGACAGGTTTATCCACATTGATAAAAGTCCACTTTGATAAAAGTCTGTTTTCTCTATCCAGGAGTAAATAGGCCTACTATATAAAGACAATTTAATTCATATAAATCAGTACCTCACAAATTTAGTTCAGGGGTAATCACTCCATGGTTCTCCCTGTGAACACATTAAATAAATTTGTATTCCTTTTCTCTAATTAATCTGCCTTTGATTAAAACAAATTTAGTTCATTTCCCTCTGTGTATTTGAGCAAGTTGGAAAATAGAAAGAATTTGTTTTGCTGAAGTCTTAAGAGGTAAACCTATTACAAAAATCCAGAATGGTAATTGGAGTCCTGAACCTGGTTAAACCTGGGTTTTAGCTCTTAAGGCCTTTAACTGTTCAGATGAGGCCCTCCCACATTATCAAGGATAATCTCCTTAACTTCAAATGATTGTAGATTTTATTTTATTTTTTAATTTAATTTTTTTTGTTTGTTTGAGACAGAGTCTCACTACGTTGCCCTCAGTAGAGTGCCCTTGGTGTCACACCTCATAGCAACCTCAAACTCTCGGGCTTAAACAATTCTCTTGCCTCAGCCTTCCAGGTGCCCTGCACAACGCCCGGCTGTTTTGTGTTGCAGTTGTCATTGTTGTTTAGCTGGCCCAGGCTGGGTTCAAACCCACCAGCCTTGGTGCTTATGGCCAGCGCTGTAACCACTGTGCTACAGGCACCAAGCCTGATTGTAGATTTTAATCATAACTACATCATTCCCCAATTTTGTGTTATCTTGGAGTGTACATATGCTTCTCATATGAGTCTGTCCTATGGTAAAAGTAGTTTTTAAAAGTGTCAGTAATAAATCTGCCTGCCAAATAGTTATAAAAGTTTCCCTCAGCTTTAGGAGCATCAATTTAATATTACTTTCAAACTCTTGGACTTAAAAATATGAAACTCATTACAAAATAAATAATTATTTGATTGGCCTACTTATAGTTTTTTGTCTGGTTATTGTTTGCTTCAAATCTGCCATCCCTGTTGCACAGGGCTGGTGCTCTAACCATTGAGCTACAGGGGCCCAGCCTATACTTTTAAATATCCAAGACAATTTTGAAAAATAAGAACAGGCTCGGCGCCTATAGCTCAACCAGCTAAGGCTCCAGCCACGTACACCTAAGGTGGCGGGTTCGAATTCCCAGCCCGGACCCGCCAAACAACAATGACGGCTGCAACCAAAAAAATAGCCGGGCGTTGTGCGTTGTGGTGGGCGCCTGTGGTCCCAGCTACTTGGGAGGCGGAGGCCGGAGACTTGCTTGAGCCCAGGAGTTGGAGGTTGCTGTGAGCTGTAATGCCATGGCACTCTACCCAGGGGGACAGCTTGAGGCTCTGTCTCAAAAAAAAAAAAAAAGAAAAAGAAAAATAAGAACAAATTTGGAGGACTTTCTCCATTTAAAGAATTACTGTAAAGCCACAATAATCAAGACAGTATAGGCCAGGCACAGTGGCTCATGGCCGTAATCCTAGCACTCTGGGAAGCCAAGGTAGGTGGATTGCCTGAGCTCATGAGTTAAAGACCTGCCTGAGCAAGAGTGAGACCCTGTCTCTAAAAACAGCTGAGTGTTGTGATGGGTGCCCAGCTACTCTGGAGGCTAAGACAAAGGGATCACTTGAGCCCAAGATTTTTTTTTGTTGTTGTTGTTGTTGAGAAAGAATCTTACTATGTCACCCTCAGTAGAGTGCTGTAGCTTTACAGCTCACAGCAGCCTCCAACTCTTGAGCTTAAGTGAGTCTCTTGCCTCAGCCTCCCAAGTAGCTGGGACTACAGGTGCCTGTCACAACACCCAGATATTTTTTTGTTACAGTTGCCATTGTTGTTTTAGCTGGCCTGGGCCAGGTTCCAACCTGCCAGCCTGGGTGCATGTGGCTGGCTCCTTACCCACTGAGCTATGGGTGCCTCCTGAGTCCAAGAGATTGAGGTTGCTGTGAGATATGACTACTCCATACTCTAGAGGATGAGAAAGTGACACTCTGTTTCAAATAATAATAGTAATAATAATAGGTAGTGTGATATTGGCACAAGTTGGTAAGGGATATAGTTCAATGGAACACAATTGCAAACCTGAAATGAATTTTTATGTTTATTGTCAGTTGACTTTGGCAAAAGTGCCAAGATAATTCAATGAAGAAAGGATAGTCTTTTTTAGCTTATAGTGTTGGGATAATTGGATAACTATAAGTTAAAAAAAAACCAAAACCCTAAAACAAAGGCCAGGTGCAGTGGCTCATGCCTGTAATCCCAGCACTCTGGGAGGCCGAGGCAGGTGGATTGCTTGAGTTCCGGAGTTAAGACACCAGCCTGAGCAAGAGTGAGACCCTGTCTCCAAAAATAGCCGGATGTTAGCTTGGCACCCATAGCATAGTGGTTACAGCGCCAGCCA